TGCTTAGGAATGGCAGCAGGCGGTGTGTGTGTGCATCTACACGCACTGTGAGGCGGAGATTCTTGGAGCAAGGCCTGGTCTCAAGCAGGGCAGCAAAGAAGCCACTTCTCTCCAGGATAAACATCAGGGACAGACTGATGTTCTTCAAAAGGTACAGGGAGTGGACTGCTGAGGACTGGGGTAAAGTCATTTTCTCTGATGAATCCCCTTTCCGATTGTTTGGGACATCTGGAAAACAGCTTGTTCGGAGAAGATAAGGTGAGCGTTACCACCAGTCTTGTCTCATGCCAACTGTAAAGCATCCTGAAACCATTCATGTGTGGGGTTGCTTCTCAGCCAAGGGAAACAACCCTCTCACAGTATTACCTTTAAAACACAGCCATGAATAAAGAACGGTACCAGAATGTCCTCCGAGAGCAACTTCTCCCAACCGTCCAAGAGCAGTTTGGTGATGAACAATGCCTTCTCCAGCATGATGGAGCACCTTGCCATAAAGCAAAGGTGATATCTAACTGGCTCAGGGAACAAAACATAGAGATTTTGGGTCCATGGCCTGGAAACTCCCCTGATCTTAATCCCATTGAAAATATGTGGTCAATAATTAAGATACTGGTGGAAAAATTAAAATCTAGGAATTCTGACAAAATGCAAGCATTGATTGTGCAAGAATGGACTGCTATCAGTCAGGATTTGGTCCAGAAGTTGATTGAGAGCATGCCAGGGAGAATTGCAGAGGTCCTGAAGAAGAGGGATCAACACTGCAAATATTGACTTGATGCATTAACTCATTCTATCATTAAAAGCTTTTGTTACTCATAATATGATTGCAATTGTATTTCTGTATGTGATGACATCTGACATACACACGAAAACCAGAGGCCGGCTGATCATGTGAAAATATAATATTTGTGTCATTCTCAATACTTTTGGCCATGTCTGTATGCTAAGATGGATGACACTGGAGTTGCTCTTTGAACACGATCTAAATGTTCAATGCAGCGAAAGCTGCCAAGTTTAAATCTGTAGGTGCTGCCTGCAGATGGCAATGGTGTACTTTGTGTATGTCAGCTGATCACGTCCGGTGCAAATATTTCAGGCCAATAAGCCTGATCATGATAAACAATTTTCTTGTATAACTTAATTGAAGATGAATGTTATTTATGTGGTTTATACACGTATTACTTGACTAGGAATTTTTTAAGTACAGGCTTATTCATAGCTACCATAAGCCTGAGGTAGGGATCTCTGTATAGGGATGGATTAATTTGATTTAAAATGGAGGTGGGAATTGGAGGAAATGCTTCCATAAATCATTTTGCTGGCATTGGCTCAAACATAAAAGTTAACAGCTTATTTAAAGCCAATAGTTTTGTCTCGGAAAATTAACTGGATCAAAAAGGTCCCAACACAGTTCATTTAGTATAGTTACCTTTAATACGGCCTCACTTTCTAAACAAGAATAAAAAATATATTTTTTAGACTTTTTATATATATATATATACATACATATATATACATACGGTAATTAATGTTCTTAAGAAATCCATAAAGTCATTACTGCTGGGAGGATGCATAGCTCAACAGAGCTATGGGAGTTTTTTATGTTTTAAATTAAAAACCTACGATTATGCTCATTTATTAAGAAAAATAAACTACTTCAGCTTTACAAAGGTTTTTTTTTTTTTTTTTTCTATTTTGATGCATGGGTACACTTGCCTGTGCAAGTTCTGAGTCATCCAGGTCATAACGACTACCAAACAGGCTTAAATCTGAGGCAATCAGGCTTTCACCATTTTTATTGAAAACATTTCAACAACTGAGTCTTTGTTCATTGGTAACTCACGCTGCTGTTTTAAAGCACATGGATCCTCCTGGTTGCGTTCTAAGTCAGATGCAAATTAAAGACCCACCCGCTATTGTCTGCATCTAAAACTGAAGTGTAGGTGTTTCCCTTAATCTGCAAGCTTTCTGGAAATTCACTCATACGCCCACTCTAACATGAGGCTATCGTTCCCAATTGTAACCCGACTTTTCTGTGCCGACTCTCAGTAATATGGGTCATGGCAGCCACAAACTCGGCTTTAATCTCTTTGACTTTGGCTATGGGCAAGGCTTTTTCTGAACGGGGTAATGGGTGGGTAACTGAGAGGCATCTTAAACTAGAAATCTGCTTCCTGGTCTAGACCCTGGGCTGTGTGTTGGTCCACACAGCTCATGTCATACACTCATTACTGAGGGTGGCCAGAGATGTTTGTTCACAGCCCGGTTCACTGGTTTAAGCCTGACTCATCCTTTTTTTGTTTTTACTGCTGTATTCTCATTTCGTCAGCCTCCTAACACTGTGACATGTATAAAAAAAAAAAAGACATAAAATCCCAGAGACTTTTTCAGTGCATATCTTAAATTTGGAGCTTAGATTTTTTGCACTGTGGGACAATTATATTAACTTGTGGAAGGAAATGTTGCTCCTTATAATTTTTTTTAATATTCACCAATGTTCCTGTTATAAACTAACCTCCATTTGTCTTTTCAGCTATCTTATAGGAGAGGAAGGCTACTGTCTCACCTCCCTACAGAGTGCCCTGGCTTATGTTGAGTCTCTGCAGGCAGAAGATCAAATTCCTGAGGTCAAACTTAAGTGAAAAAGGTAACTTGAGTTGGTGGGTGTTTTTGATTTTAAAGGCTGCATCCTCCAAGGACCCAGTCTACCTGGACTGGGTTCTTCAAGGTCTGAGAGAATAAGGAGGCTGAAAGAGTTTGGCTATGGATTCAAACAGGTCCAGCCTTCTCTGGCTTTCACAGCATGTATGCTCCGTATTCTGGCAGCCATGAACACACAAAGCAGGCAAAGAACGGATACCAAACTTCTCACTACTGTTCTGGGTGCAAATTACATTTTCGAGGAGCTTCAGCAGCAGTACCATCATCACAAATATTTTTATAGTCCCCCTCACTGCAGAGATATTGGAATCTGTGCTTAAATGTCAGCCAGACCCATTTACACGATGACAGATAAAACCATTCAATAAACCAAACATTAACCGCCACATATCTGACCCAATAACTATTAAAAAAAACTATTTCAGACAGAACTATTCACATACTTGGGTTATATTAAATTGCCCTTTACCTTTTTCACCTGAGCACGGAGCAGCCGGCTTGTTTGGACTCTCATTAAATCACGGGATACTCAAGGTTACGTAGGATACAACGGACCCGTCTTTCAAAACGGGCAAAAAGAAGGATGCATTTGTCGGGCACATAACGAGGAGACTTACAATCTGAACAGGCACTATGATGTAATCAAGCGACAAATCTGGCCTTTTGGAGGACACAGTTGCTGAATTTGAACTCAGCAAAAGTAACAGTTATGTGTAACTGTGTAAAAATCTCTAGTGGTTGGGTCATTAAAGATGAGGTCATAATGAGGCATCTTGGTATCTGACTGACAAGCAAGGTCTTTTTTTTTTTTTTTTTTATAAATGCTGTATCTTACAACAGTATTGGTAAGCATTTTCCAAAAACACATCCTCTATAGCAATTTTCCATGTGTTATATAAAATGTCTGAGTTCTGCCTTTCACTGTGTAGCTGAGCTTTTTGCGCTGGAAATATTCCATGACTCCTTTCGCCACTCGACGAAAACAGGTTAAAAGACATTAAAATAGGATTTGATTTAGTGAAGCAAGCATTAATAAGCAACACCCACAGATAGCCATAAATCAACAGGCTGTAATCAAAATGCCACTTATTTCAGACAAGGGTCTTCTGCAGATCTCTAGAGGTTTCTTTTTCTTTTTTATATTCTTCATTCTTACACTTTTTACTTTCTGTAAAAAGCCTGCAGATTTTCTTTTCAAAAGAACATTTTTAATTTATGCCTGAATATGCCTCCTAATAAATGACTGTACTATATTGTTATCTTGGAGATGTTTACCCTTCAGTCTTGTTTGAATCTCTAAGCTAACTCTGAAAGCTGCTAAAGCACCATTTTTTCCTCTTTGGGACAAAGGCTTTTCTGTCTTTTTCAGTTTGCATCATATTTTTTATGTTTTATTCTACTCTATCACCAGACAGTCGGTTTTTTTTAATGATGGAAACCTTTGTTTTGTGTGTTTTAAGCTGCTGCTCATCATCTACACCCTTCCTGGCAGTCTAGGCTGTTTAACGGCGAAATGACTTCTAGTGATGCAGCTTTCTGCAGGTTCTCCACCCTGTTCCTACCCGGAGGACTTTCATCTGCTCAGTGTCTGAGCCTGAAGCTGTAAGTTTCCCCCTGACAAAGTCTGATGCACTAAACCATACTTCAGACTAAAACCAGCAGTGGATTAAAGCTCGGGCTGTTCTTGTCTTCCTCGCTAATTTTTAATGGTTCCTCTCTGTAAACATGATCTGTTTTAACTACTATGCATGTTTAAACCCTCTGCACTGATGAAAAGTTTCAGTTTTCATCATAAACAACTGAAGATTGAGGTGCCTCTAAAAAGGAAAAAAAAATGCTCAGGCCTTATCTCAACAGGGCTATGCTTGTTTCTAACTTATTTAACATAAATTCAGTTGCTGAACTAAGTTATTCCTCCTCAGGTTGTTTGTAAGAGTTGAACTATTGGAGCTCAGAAGACAAAAGATGAATGTAGTAAAATGAAAATGGATAAGAACAGAAATGAGTGAAGTTTTTGGCAGATGCGGCTCTGTGTGAAGGTTTCAGAACCCTTTAGGAAATGTAGATAAAATATGGGAGTAATGTTGAAATACTGCTGTTTTTATCTGTTTGAAATTAAGCTCCAACTAAAGAAAGCCTTGGCACTGTCCGATGTTGTATCAGTTTCCTGTGAAACACTGAACTGTCTCTGATTTATTCTAAGCAGACTGTTTTCTACATGTTTGAGTTTTAAAACTGAAGATGGAATCAGTCCCATCGATTTAAAGGAAAAACAGCCCCTCACTTCTCTCTGGCTGGGGGTGGGCGGGGGCTACAGATGGATGTGATGTGTGATGAAACAAAAACAATGGCTCATGGCAGCCAGCAGGTTGGGAGGAGCTGCTGCACCGACTGCGCTCCTGTTTGCTCAGAGAGCAGACCGAGGGATTGCCGATTGCAGCGGTTAGTGCGTTTTTTTGTCCTGAAAGCTTTTTATTTTTTATCCTGAATGTTTTTTTTCTACAAGTGGTGATTTTTAAGCTGTGACAAAGTTTAGTTTTAAATTCTCACACATTGGATTATACACCTAAACGATTTGAGTTTGGTTTTTTTATTCTTGTTTATTAAGCAAAAATCAAATTTTAAGTCTAAATGTAATTTCCAAAGAGCCAAAACCTGATCCCGTTCGGGGTCAGAGGGGCAGATTGGACTAAAACCCATTTTTAATATTCAGCAACACCAGTAAACTGGTGGAACTGGGAGAATCTGGTGGTTCCAGGATTTTAACACGAAAACCCCAGGACGTTTCCTACACCCAGACTGCTTCATGTTTAGTGTCGTTTATATCGGTCAGAAGATGTAAAAAGATTGAAAATCATGAAGATTAAAATGGATCCAGATGTTCTATGTAATGTAGAGATGCTGTGATAATGTTATGTGGTGGGAAACTGATGCTTTAATGTCAAACCTTACCGAAAATGTTTACAATTATTAATGTATGTTTGTGAGAAGAATAAATAAAGAAGATTAAATGTTTAATTATTAATATCTCTTAAAGTGTGATTCAGCTTATTGTACCCTTTTTTTTTTTTTTATAAAACCTGCATTCACCATACTAAGACCTGCAGCTGATAAAGTTTAAAATTTCACCTTGTTTGGCTGAAGCTGCTTTTTGAAGTTTAAGCAGTCTTTCTTGCATCCAAAAGCAAGAAGGATCTGTTATTGTTCACGTGACAGTGAAACATGAATCCTCTTTCACAATGGGATGTAAGATGAACCACCAGCCGAGTTCTTCTGATCATATAAGCTGCCGTTGTAAGCAGTTTGCTGCTTTGAATCATTCAGAGCTGTGTTGACACAATGCAGGGGCAGAAAGACATCAGCAATGATACCAGAGCACCAGCTGGTGCTCCCCATCAACTTGGGTTAGGTCATCTTCAAAAAAAACAAAATTCGACAAAGAGGAGAACATCTGAGCTGTCAATCTTCCCTGCAGAGTATGTCTCAGCATTGGTTAGAGAAGGAGGCTAAGAGAAATAAGGAGATATCAAAGAGCTTCTCCTTTGACTCTATAGGTTTCTGTTAAAAGGTTAAAGGTCATGACTGCAAACCAGTCTGGTTGTTTGGAAGGTTTGAAGGAGAAAGCTCCAATATGGCAACAGGACTGGTTTGGCCAAATGAGGCCACCACTTCATGTTTTACACAAACAACCAAGGACATAAACTCCTTTTTATCTACTATCAGACATGGCAGTGAAGTGGTTATCATTTGGTATGTTTTAATTTCACAAGATCTTGCATTTGTTTGTCTCTTTCATAAAATGTTGGAAACTAGAAACCTTTAGCGGGCCAGCTCAAAATTGATGGGTTGAATACAACCAGCAACTGACCTGCTGAGCAAAGCAGTCTGTCCTGTATTGGCTGGTATTTAGTGGGTATTTGATCTAAAAACTTGGCATGTGATGGCCTTTGGAATGGTCCTGGGTAGACTGGGTAGATCTCTGGATTTCAGCCCAGGGTAGTTTTAGAAGGAGAAGAAAGAACTGAAAGCGTCTGAAACAGCAATTTGATACGGACCATGCAGAGCTCTCCTCTTTACGTCTGTTTGACACTCAAAACTAAATGTAAACACTCCTGTATGCAAAATCTATCATGACATCTGGATCAGAGCGGGTCTCTCCTTTATGATGGAAGCATATTTTTTCCTATTGGACCATGAACTCCATACCAAAGTGTTTTAAAAGACAAACATACAACTTTCAGCTAAAGCTTGGCCCACACTGGGTCATCCAACCCAAAATTGACCAAAACAAGACTTTTCATGACTGACCTGTGCTGCAGGTGGGTCAACAAACGGCTAAATCGGGAGATGTTCCTAGTTTCAGTTGCTGTATCTTCTCTAGTTTGACTCCAACCTTAATAAATCAAAATGCAACAACTATGGTTGGCTTTAATAAAGAAAAAAGAATAAAAGCTGGAATTTAATTCCAGCAGAAATCAAAAGCAACTAAACTGGACCATTAGTGTTTTTCCACTGCTACAAACAGAAGTTCACAAGTCGTCTCTTTCCAAGTCAGGTATTCAGAGCACATGTCTAAGTCGAGTCTGAAGTCTTATTTTTGCTGCTTGTCGCCATCTCGGCTATGAATTGTGACTTGAATCAGTCTCAAGTGAGCGAACATGTCAAACCGCGAGAGCAACTGGCTCGCTACCAACTGATGTGACAGGTTTTATTACTGTTTTTCTACTGTTGGTTGCTGACTTTTCTGTATGGGTATGTCACAGGAGGCTGAGCAAACAGAAGCCTGTGAGCTGGAAATTGAACCACATGCCACTCTAAATCAATCAGGACCACAGCAGCAGCCCCCATGGCCTCCTTTAACCCTGAATCTTCTGCTTTCATCCATTTTCCAGTTCACTTAGTTGCTGGGCTTCAGATTACTACTTCAACACTGACTTTTTTTTTTTTTAAGATCAATCGGAAAGCAGCCACCAAATGCATCTCAGCCTGAATTTAAAGATAACTTTTACACGTCATTTCAAATCTATCACGGTTGCACAAACCAGGCTTTTCTGTTGTCACTGAAGTCAAACATAAATCCAGCACATAGCCTTAGCCTGGATGCACATGGGACACATTCTGGAGTTCATTTGGTTCCTTTAGAGATGATGGAGGTACAACATTGCATAAGGCATCACCACAGCCGGCTCTTATGGGCAAGGCCAAAGAGCTGCTGATCCAAGACGGAAGCTTGAGCGGAAGAGGAACAGTCCAACAGAACCTGTAAAGCAGTTCATGAGCCAGGTCTTTAACCACAGACTTCCAACTTACAATACTGGCCATTCAGACAGCTGGGCACACATTCAGTTAACACCCAACAGCACCAGCCAAGGCAGACAGCTTTCAGCTCCTTGAACGTGCTGGATATTAGAGCGATGAGATGACAAAATATCTTTAAGTTCTTATCCATCTGAGGGATTGAGCCTGGACCATCTGGATGAGGGCTCCTGATGAGCCCAAGAATTACCAGATTATTTCTTCAAATGCAGATGAATAAATCTTTGTTCATTGTTGGTAAACCAAAGTTAAGAAGAACTTTCTGGATCTGTGAATTTTTGCTGGAATAGACCCAATCAGAAGATGCCTGAAGGAAGACGAAGTGGATATCAACTTTGCCAACTGTAGCTGCTCTGCAGTGTAGTTGTTTTATATTGTTTCCTCAATGGATCATGTTCTACTATCCTATACTATATATGTATTTTAATGGGTCTGATAGCAGCTCTTCTACTTTTTCCCCATCTGGGTCTGCAGACAGAAGGCCCACGCTGCTTACCGCCCACATTCCCAGATAAACGGCCTTCGTGGTTCTCCATGAGCTGTGGTGTTGAGTTTCCATAAATCCTCTGGTATGTTTTTGTGAAGTTCTTGCAGAGGAGAGAAGCATGCAGATGAGAACCTTTTTCAATCTGCTTTCAGATTTTAATCTTCTCAGTTCTTTTTATCTATTTTTTATTTACACACAGGGGAACAACTTGGGGAGAAAAAAAACACTAAAGTGTTCAAGTTGTCTCTTTCAGCTTTAACTGCTTTATAAAGACATTTGTGAATCTGTTCTCATCAACCTCACATTAGATGTTTCAATCCAACAAAAGAACTTTCCCCTCGGTTATTGAGCCCCCCTGTTCTTCCTGTAGGTCCGTCTGTTCGGTCAGGAACGCAGATCTCTGCTGTATTTCTACCATCTACCGTCTCAACCAGAAAAGATTGACTATTAATTTTGTGAATTTCTGTTCACGTCAGGAACTTTTATGGTGAATGGAGATTTCTCTGATCCCCAGAACATCATTTAAAAACTTAGGGGACCCACAGAATTATGTGAGTTCCTAGAAGAAGCCAGGTTCTGAAACAATCGGACTGCTTTAATGATATTAGTGGAACCAGAACAGCAAAGCCGTCGTAACAAGCAGAGAATGTTGAGGGGTCTGTCAGAGAGGTCTGTGTTACACATTTATTATAATTTGTCCTAATTCTGACCCAACAAACCCCCCACGCCCTCCTGTCTGCTCCAGCTCGGTGAAACTTCAGACATCTCATTATTAAAGGGCCATGCTGCCCCCCAAACCAGACAGGATCTAGGCTTTCAGTGGTCGGAGGTGGTGCGTGTGTGAAAGGGTCAGACCGGCACGCGATTCTGGTTGAAAATGTGTCAGTCTTGGGCCGCCCCTGTCTCAGCTGTCATCAGCCATTTATTCTGTTCATGCCACATGTTTAGAGGAAACTCCCCCAAACACACATTGAATTCTTTTCATTTTTGAATAAATTCAAAAAGATGCAAACTAAAGCTTCAAACTTTGTTCCTCGTCAGAGCCTGAGAGCTCCTGAATCTGTGGTGGGGCAGCTTCAGACAGCTCCTCTATCAGTTTTTCTCCAGAAGCCAGTTTGGGGCTTGGTTGTCCTTCGAATCATCTCAAACCATAAAGTCTGAGCAAAACACTGAGACCATCATGAAGAAGGCCCAGCTGAGGATGTTCTTCCTGTTTCAAGTCATGAAGCTCGACCTGTCGAAGGAGCTGCTGCTCATCCAGTTCTACACAGCATTCATCCAGTATGTCCTACACTGTTTGATTCAGCTCTCTCACCAAGCAGGACACAAACCGACAATCGGGTCTAAAGAAAACCCTCCAATAAGGACTACGTTATTAAAAATGTTTCAGCTCTTGTTCTTTGATAGGACCTACAGATCAATGTACACCTAAACCAACAGATTCAGGCAGTGTTTTTCTTCAAGCCTTTTCTCTCAGTAAATCTACCTTTATTCAGACCATTTCCTGGTTACTGCTCCATTGTTTTAAACTAAATATGTGTATATCTGTTCTCCATTCCATAAGCTATAGTTATTTCCATTACTGGATTGTTATTGTATAAATGAGTACATTGTGAAAATTGTAATCCAATGTGTACTTGTCAAATAAAGCTGGATCTGAGATTATTTATTCTCAGTTCCTGAGTAGAAGTGACCTTTTAGCTACTTGGGGGGGGAAGAAGAGACAAAACTCATTTATCAAATTTATTATTCATAGAATATAAAGATAAGAATAAATATGCAGCAAATGCTTTTAAAACGTAAAAAATATGTAAATTGTAAAAAAAAAAAAAAAATTAACAGGAGCATAAATGATCAAAAAAAAAACTTGGAAGATAACGATTCTTTATTACAATAGATGCAATCAGGTAAGAGAAATCAACTTTATGATGCTGCAGAAGAAACTGAAAACTAAAGGATAAAGCTTAATAGTCACTATCTTAGAGAATAAAGCTGGATTTCTATTTCTGAAACCAAAGGTCCAATTCTGATGTCACATTTAAAACAACTACAGTCAATAACTGCACAGCTTTATTGGACTTGTACTGGACTAGAACAGAACTCGATCAGGTTCCTTCATTTGGACCTATGTGATCCCAGGACTATTGGATTTATAGATCAAACTGATGTATTAACTGAGTAAACTTCTAAACATGACTGAAGAACAAAAAGA